CGAGGGGTCACGGGAGGGTCAATGGTCTACGGGGATCACGGGCCCGACACGGGATCCGGCGCAGGACTACCGTTTGAGAGTTTCCTTCTTTTGGGATTCTGCCAAGGGAAAGGGAAGGATGGAGAGCCCGGGCGGGGAAAGGGAAAGGGAAAGGGAAGGGAAAGGGGAAGGGGGGAAAAGAGAGAGAGAGAGAGAGAAAAGAAGAAAAAAAGGGATGATGTACGGTAGCAGGGGCATGGCACCGGGGGCGGCTACTAGTACAGTAGTACAGTAATAGTAGTAGTACCGGTAGTAGATGGAAAACGTAATCACCATCTGACTCAAACTCATCCGATGCGACTGCGAACGCCCAACACCGGACGAGTCAGTCAGTCAGTCAGTCTCACTCAGCCTTGGACTCCTTCCGTATACCGGTACTCCGTATGCCAGCCATGGCATGCTCTATTCTCTACTCTCTACTCTCTACTCTGTACTCTCTACGGTAAAGTATATTCTTATGCATTCATGCCAGCGTGTATAGGTGGATAACTTCAAATGGCAAGAGAAAGAGCAGGAGCAGGAGCAAGAATTGCGCCGACCAGCCATCCATCCGTCCATCCATCCGTCCATCCATCCATCCCTCCCGCCATCCGTCCGTCCATCCCTCCATCCATCCATGACGAAGCGAAGCGATCCGTCTTGCGTCTTTCCCTACCTCTGCATAACAATTCCGTCTACTTAAAACGACGACGATCACGACGACGACGACGATCACGACTACGACGACGACGATCACGACTACGACGACCACGACGACGACTACGACGATCACGACGACGACCACGACGACGACAACAATACCAACAAAGCAAACGCGCGCCTCTAGGAGAGGAGGGGCCGAGAGCTGGTTTCACCTTCTCCGTGCGTACTTGACGTTACAGATCGAGGTGCGATGACGCACGCCGCACCATGGCCGCGTGTAGTACGGAAATACTATAGTACAGCGGTTAAGTGTCGTAACCCTCGTCGACCCACAGCCACTTTTTCTAACTTAATCGGGCTCTGTTCAAACGAGGTTCTGGAAAATTTCGTGCCTAGCGATCACGTTATTGCCCAAGTGGGTTAGATATAGTAGCCATGGGTCGACGAGGGTTACGACACTTGGCCACTGTACTACGTACCTCCGTTGACAGGGTACGGTAGTGCGACGAACAGAATACCCGTGCATCGCATCCTAGTCCAGGTCTTTCTGTACCGGTACTACGTATGTTGAAGAAGACATCCATCTACTACTATCTGTTCATCTGAATTACATCTCATCTCGCCCGTTCCGTCCTAGTTTCAGCCTTAGTCTCAGTCTTGATTTAAATCACAATACTCTAAAAGATCTGCAACCCCTTCCTTGTAAATACTACTATATCTATATATCCATACGTGGAATTCTACTACTGCTATAAAAAGATCACAGAATAACAGTTCAGTCCGGCCCCAAGAAGCAATATGATGCTTATTTCAACAACCGTTACTTGGGAGTACCCTACCTTACGACTAATTACAGAGATACCCAAAAATATAACAATTCAAATCACAGCATATACGACGAGTTCCTAAAATAAATAAATACACGATTTTCGCCTCCCGAGATTACGCTGTACATATCCAAATCAAATGACAGAATATAGCTTATATATAGATTCACTCTACGGTTTCAGCAGTTTCGACGCTCATTTGATTTCGTATTCTATTTATAACGATATGTCATCTCATCATGCAGACTTGTCATTTTGGATGTACCTTTACGTACCAGTCTGGTCACATTATGATCATAATCATAATTACAATCTTCATCACAATCATCATCATCATCGTCGTCGTCGTCGTCATCATCCTCACAGTACTTGGTAACAGCTAACGCATTCAGCACCACCTTTTCTCGCACCAAAACTACGGGTCAACACTCCCCCCCCTCTCCAAAAAGAAAAAAAAAAAAAAAAAAAAAAGGGCCGATATCTATCGATTCCATCTTCGAGGAAGTACACTTACAAAAAGATATACAGCCAAAATCCGGCCGCCCTTCTTCTCTTCTCCTTTCCTTCTCCTCCAAAAGACTTCCCTTCTCTTCTCCCTCCTCCTCTTAATCTCAAGCAGCGAACCCCCCCAACAAACAAACCAACTTCCTTCCTTCCTTCCTTGCTTCCTT